AGACGAGTTAACTGGTGAATTTTGAGATAGTATGAACCAAAGTTTTGGTTTTCCCATAGTAATTTCTACACAAACTTCAAATGGTTTGTGCCAAGTCAGTTTCTTACTAAGTAAGTTCAAATTTTGGGAGGCTAACCAGGACCCAATTTGGAACCGTTTGAGCACTGTGGAGTGAAAATTTCAAATTTTGAATCAGTCTAATGACCAGTTTATTCGAGATTTGACCCACTTCTGTTTCAAAACATAGCTACGCCCATGATCATGTAGAGGATCTATACAGCATGCAAGTGATTCGTTCACCGATTACAATTTTAATTGATAAATGGCTTTCGTTTTCCATTACAATTGTGAATTGTTGCTGCTTAAATGATTTATTTGCTTGATATGTCGAAATGAAGAACAAATTGCAACCCTTAACCCTGTTTTTGGAATACTTGATATTAAACTGCCAAACTTACATAACAAAATATTTTTAAACTTCTTAGTCGAAATAAAAAATAATAAATATCTTTGTATTAATTTGGTCTTTATTGCAATATTCTTATGTCGCTCTCAATCAATCAATGAGATTAAAAAGGTTTTTACGATAGATAGCGATTATAAAATCGCTCGAAAGCTTTCGGCGAAGCTTATGGGCTGCTCCATATCAAAAGTAGCAAAGTAAGATAATTAAGTACCGGATAGTCGTCACGCAGTCTAGAGTCAACGGGTTTAAATCCATATAATTGATTTGTGTACGGTGAAATCATGGATATTATTTATGATTTCTGATCGATAGAACGGAAATGAGCGATAACGACGAAGTAGCGCTCTACCCTCATTGCTTTTGTAAACAATAATTTTAACAGTCGATTTCCCGCAAATGAAAACTCTTACCTTACCTTACCTTACCAATCAGGCTAAGGCCTTGTTGTCCTCTGCTGTCCGAAGAAGTCGTCTCCACTCTACTCGATCCATGGCCACAGTTCGCCAGCCTCGTAGTCTGCGAAGGGTCCGCAGGTCACCTTCTACTTGGTCGATCCACCTTGCTCCTCCTCAACTTCTTGAAGATCAGGGGCCGGTAGCCTGTCGTCTTCTGCGCGTGCTCCAAGGTCTGTTGCCGTGCCACCTTCGTTTTCTGCTGCTTCACCGTTGAGGTGCTCGTCATAGTACTGCTTCCACCTCTCAATCACCTCACACTCGTTCGTGAGAAGGTTACCGTCCAAGTCCTTGCACATATCGGCTTGCGGCACGTAGCCTTTGCGCGAACTATTTAGCTTCTCGTAGAACTTCCGTGTGTCGTTTACGCGGTACAGATTTTCCATCGCCTCGCGATCTCGATCTTCCTGCTGACGCTTCTTCCTTCGGAAAACCGAGTTTTGTCTGTTCCGCGCTTGTCTGTATCGCTCCACATTCAATCTCGTGCGGTGTTGCAGCATTCTCGCCCGTGCTGCATTCTTCTCCTCTACTAACAGTTTGCATTCGCCGTCAAACCAGTCATTTCTTTGGTCCGGGATTGCAGTACCTAGTGCCGCTACAGCAGTACTACCTATGGCTGAACGGATGTCCCTCCAGCCATCTTCAAGAGAAGCTGCGCCAAGCTGCTCTTCCGTGGGTAGTGCAACTTCCAGCTGCTGCGCGTAGTCCTGGGCAACTCCGGTGTCCCGTAGTTGCTCAATGTTGGGTCGTGGCGTTCGACTTCGACGTGTGTTATGCACCGTCGAGAGTTTTGAGCGCATGCATACTGCAACTAGGTAGTGGTCCGAATCTATGTTCGCACTGCGGTACGTGCGGACGTTGATAATGTCGGAGAAGAATTTCCCGTCGATTAGAACGTGATCGATTTGGTTTTCTGTGTGTTGGTCAGGTGATCTCCAGGTGGCTTTGTGGATATCCTTGCGGGGGAAAAAGGTACTTCGAACTACCATACCCCGGGAGGCTGCAAAGTTCACGCATCGTTGGCCGTTGTCGTTCGATACGGCATGCAGGCTGTTTGGCCCGATTGCCGGTCTATACATTGCCTCCCGTCCTACCTGAGCGTTCATGTCGCCGATGACGATTTTGACGTCCCGTTGCGAACAGCCGTCGTACACCTGCTCCAGCTGCGCATAGAACGCTTCTTTCTCGTCGTCGGGTCTCCCTTCGTGTGGGCAGTGCACGTTGATGATGCTGTAGTTGAAGAAACGGCCCTTAATCCTCAACTTGCACATCCTCGCGTTGATCGGCTGCCAACCAATCACGCGTTGGCGCATCTTACCCAGCACTACAAAGCCGGTTCCCAGCTCGTTGGTGGTGCCACAGCTCTGGTAGAAAGTAGCCGCTCGATGCCCGCTTTTCCATACCTTTTGTCCCGTCCAGCAAAGTTCCTGCAGTGCTACGACTTCGAAGTTGCGTGGTTGAAGTTCGTCATAGATTAACCTATCGCAACCCGGGAAGCCGAGCGATTTGCAGTTCCATGTTCCGAGTTTCCAATCGTAGTCCTTATTTCGTCGCGTAGGTCTGTGCCGATTGTTCCGATCCGTATTTCTTTCTTCGGTATTTGCAACTTTGTTTTTTTCCAGGGCGGCTTGTTGGGCCTGCCCCAACCCCCTGTCTCGCCGGGGGACCATCGTGCACAGCTCTGTTTAGAGTCCCACGCTGGCACTAGGACGGTGATCAGCCGCTCCTAACATGGAGAACAGACGCCGTTTTGAGCCGCACCTCCATGGTGAGCAGACGCTCAGGTTTGGTGAAGCATTTCCTCTATCACCGTACTATGGTTACCGCGCCAGTGTTCGCGTCGCACCTCTTCACTTTGCTATTGCCGGACTGGCAACATTGCCCAGGCTACGCCAACCAGCTGTGTCCATGTTTCAGCTGGTAGTCTTTTGTTATCATATGACTCGAGGAGGCGTGAAGTAGGAACTTGTGAGGAGAACTCACACCTCCACATTACACAATGCTAGCTGGAAAAGGGAACATTCCTCTACTTGTTAGTGTTATTAATGTTCATGAGTGAGCTTTTATTCGCGAGAAATCGACGGCTAAAGCCATTGCTTACAAATGCAATTACGCCCCTTTGAAATGTTGGAACTGATTTGTGTTTTCCGTTCCATCTTCAGCATAACTCAAACGCGATTCACATACATTGACTGTAGAAAGTACTGAAGCATGTTTCTTCATTTGCTGCATTAAGCGTGAAACGGTCCCCAAAAACTATAGCAAAGGTGTTTGGCATCATTCATTGATACAATTTGTTTTTCCTTTTACTACAGAGACTTTCAGATTTCGGCTAGATAGTCTATCCGCTGATACAGTAGTGAAAGTACTAGTGGAATTGAAATTTAACTTAAACTCTTCAAATCGGGAAAAATCACCAACAACTGCTACCATATGGCGCCGTGGCTTAGTTGGTTAAAGCGCCTGTCTAGTAAACAGGAGATCGTGAGTTCGAATCTCGCCGGAGCCTAATGTGGGTTTTTATTTATTAAATATGTTTTCCTACTAGACCGTCATAAACATGAAATATAACATTTTAGGAGGACCAGAGCTTACAAAATAAAGATATCCCTCCGTGACAATGACCAACGGAGCTAGTCATTGCCGTGACCTGGATTCGAACCTGGGTTACTACGGCCACAACGTAGGGTCCTAACCACTAGACGATCACGGCTATCGGGAGTTGTTAGCTTTAAGCTGTTGAAACTAGATTAACTGAAAGCCTTTTACTAACAGCAAAGATACAAGGCAGGTAATTTTAAAACGCATTCGACCATATCAAAAAATGGTAACAGAAATTCTGATTCCCAAAATTTTTGTCGCTCTACTTGAACAAACTTAAATTTTAATTCGTTCGGTGCAATTTGTTTTGAAATTTAATCGATGCACCCTTCCAAATAAAGGACCACAGTTCAAGAGGTGAACCAGCCTCTGGTTGAAAGACTCTATAATAAAGCAAAAAAAGCTGCACAGTTGGTTGAATTAGAGTCGGTGTATAATGAGTCACGCCAAGAGAAAAAAAAAGTTGAACTCGCATCACGGTTTTCGAAAGATTCCATTTATTTTCACTTGGCAACAGAGGACTTCTGCATCAACTTCAAATGACTTCTAGCGAGGAAAAAATTAACGGCTGTAGTAAATCATTATATCAGGGATTTTGTCGAATTATCTTAAAGAAAAATAGTAGAAATTGTCATTACTGATCATTACAAAACGTATCGCATGACAAATGTAATGCTCACTGCGTGTATATGATCATTTCTTCGATTATATTTTATATTTAATTGCAATACCTTTCGTGGACTTTCATAGCATCGTAATGCTTGTTTACTTTGCACGATAGGTAGCCGGTTTGACAGTGCATTAGGTAGACTTGGCTTCACTCTTGGCGTGACTCATTATACACCGACTCTAGGTTGAATGAGCTTTGTAAGTGTTTGTTCAACCATTCTGTTTGAGCTGTAAAAGCAGTTAACAGATATGAAAATTGATACTTTTAACAGCTAGATTTTGGTTTTCGTGAAGGCGTTTTCTCTGGCGAGATTGAAATTAATAGTGTCGTATGGGGTAAATGTCGGCTGCGACAACCAAAATGTATACGGTAATTTCAGTGCATTTTTTCAACAAACACTTTGGTGAATGTTTTCCAACGATTCCTTAATCTGTCAGCTTCAATCTGATTAGGTTTTTACGACTGAGCAAACGTATTTTTCTAGGTTACTCTTGAAATCAAGATTAAACAACAGTTCAAATGGAAAGGTTTCCGAAGAAAATTAGGTTGCTGACAATAGTTACACTCACCTGAGAAGTTTGGAGCGTTGTAAATGAGTTTTAAAACATTTGTTGACAATTCTATTAATTGGAATGGATAGAGCAACAGGCAGCAGCTGAAAGTAAACAAACAAACACTGCATATGTATGCGTTACGTCGAGGAGAAAAACCCCATAGAAGCGCGGACGCTGCTTGGATTACCGAGAATACGTAAATTCCCCTACCTAATATTTTCGAGGGTAATATAAATTCAAATCGATCATTGGTGTGCATGCATCTATATTTTGTAAACATGATTAAATTTAAGGAATAACTAACATTTAATGATATCTGAAGCAAAGTTTTACAAATAATATAGCTTCTTTTCCAACGCACTATTCGGAGCTTGATGCAAATACTGCCCAGCCAGGGAAGCCAGCTTGTGGGCGTACTGACACACTGCCGGAACACCAACCGTGCCGGACCAGTTGTAGTACATGTGGGTCTGCTTGAAGGTATACTGCTGCAGCTTATCGGCATTCAATCCGGATTCGTCCTTAAGAATGTTGTACGAAGTCGGGGAGACCGTACCCTGCCGAACGCTTTGAGATACCAGGTAGAAGTCATTTCTGAAAGATTGTAAAATGATCAGTAAATCATCACCTGTTTTTTTTCTGCAAAAAAACTTACCTTTCCGGTAGTGTGATGACATCATCCACGATCGTTCCCGGAAGTGGATTTCTCTTCTGCAGGAACAGTCTAGTGTTGATTCTTTTGTTCACCACAAAGAATGTCAATCTGGAAGGTGCTCGTTGCTCCTTGCAAGCTAGTTGCAACTTTTCCTTGATCGCGTTCACTTCGTGATCGTAGACGTACTTCAGCTGTCCTTCTCCTACTCCGTCGCGATAGACAATAATTCGATCCGGTAGCGAATTGCCAAAGTCAGCTCTGTAAGCATGAACGGCTTTAATGATGTTCAGTGCCATGAAGTTCGACAGCTCCTCTCCATTCGAATGATGATTTACGGTCGAAAAATACTTTGGATGTCTGCAGCCTGCTCCGTACATAGACGCCACTAGAGCTCCGTATGATTTCGACTTATCCCTGGTATCGTGGCAAACGTCGAAACCAATTACCATAATAGAAGTCAGGGGGTTCTTCAGAACCCAAGGAATGCCTCCCAATTTACAATTGACCTGAATCGCAACCTTCGTAGCCACAGACATCAACGTACGAATATTTCCACCCTTTGGCGTAATCGTGCGCGTCTTAAGGACTTGTGTTGCCACAGCTCGATCGACACAGCACTTCTTCTTGATTGCAGCATACCGATCGGCCTTGTCATTCGTTACCAAGCACATGATCAGCTGGGGATCTTTTTGAACAATCGAATTCAGACTGTCGATGTAAACCGTCGGTGAGTCGTTGGGAATGACAATGAGCTGGGGATCTTCGATTTGGAAGTGCATTCCTCGAGCTGCCTGCCTTAGGCATTGCATGAAATCGGTAATGAGCCTTTCCGATCCTCTTGGAACAATCGCGAACCATTTGGTCAGTGGAATTGAATAATACATGGGATTGTTGCGGAACGCCATCTGCCAGTCGGCCATATCTCCAGCTGCTACCGAACTGTAAAAGGAAGGATGGTCGATTAGTTGCAGATTCATTCAAGGAAATTTGTGATACTTACTAATTGGGCTGCTCCGGATGGAAGAATATCGTTTCCGGTAGAAAAACACGTCCTGGTACTTCGACCAACCGACGATCGAGTTCAGTTTTCCAGAATTGGAACACCTCTGCGCTTTCCTTGGAATTCTGTAGCCGTCGGTTGAATACCTCCAGACGTTCGATACGTTTATCTGGAGTCAGACGGGTATGATCGGCCAGGGTTCGCATTAAACTGAAAGCGATAAAACGAATTAGCATAAATCATAATATGCCTATTGGGATTCACATGGAATACTCACTTGAAATTTCGTCTCATATCGTCGGTGATACCGGTTGCCCGGACTAACTCCGGCACCAAGTAGATCAGCTCAGGCAATCCGGCTCGTATGTCTCTTGACTTCGATCGAGAAACCAACATCGGTTGTCTCGGGTCTCGGATGATGATGTTGTATCGATCTCTGAAGTATTGTACAAACGTGACTCGTCCATTGGAAGTCTCGAAGCTGCTTTCTGCAGTAGTGTTGTATTCTACGTCGTTGACCGTGTAAGTACGATTGCTGCCATAGTTCGTCATAACAACCGATCCTAGCACCATTCGCTTGAAGATATCCTGCCAATTACCGCCTTGATTCATGCATTGCCTCAGAAGCATGTAGCATGTATCCGTTCGCATAACTCGATGCGTCAATTCGGCGCACATTAAAACGTCGTTCTCGTGCTGCCTGATGCTAGTCACATAACCGGGATACAGTTCAATGCCGTATTGACTGACGGAAACCTTCGCGGCCGGATCGAAGAAGTTTCGTCCGATCAGTTGCAACTTCAGTCCGCTCATTGCCTTACGGTTGATCAAGTTAAAGATCACCAATGCCATTTCGTTAGTTCCGTCAATCGCACCGACACGTCGCAACTTAATGATGTACTGCTGATCCGAATTGGTGTCTCTTGTGGTAATTTCCACCTCATCGTTTCGCAACTTGTGCCGAGTGAAGAGTTGGGTTCCATCAAAAATGTATCCACCGATAGTTGGTTTTAAAGTATATACCAGCGAACTCATCAGCTTGCTACTTTCAACTGGAGGATTGAAATCGACTCGATACTGGAAGATGCTTTCATCATCCTTCCTGACCACGCGGAAGTAATTTGTCTGTAACATAATTCGTCTTCCACAAATTCCTTGCTTGGATGCCGTTTCTCCGATAGGGCGAGTACGAACGATATCCGAAACCGCTCGATTGCCACGCATCCCTCCTCTGCCAGCTCCAGGCGTCACTTGCCGAGGCTCCGTATCTTGGGCCGGCTGCTCAATGGGATTGGATCCTGAACTAGCACCGGCGTGTTGCTTCCCATTTTGTGCCTGGTCATTGCGATCATTCGGCTTTAGCCGCTGGTTACCGTTCGATTGTTTCCAGTTCGTGTTAGCGTTACCTCGTGCTCCTTCCGTTTGTTTCCAATCATGTCCTCCTCCGTTGTTAGATTGCTTCAAGTTTCCATTCTTTCCGCCATTTGATTCTTTCCAATAATTATTGCCTCCACCGTTTTCATTTTTCTGCCTCCATCCAGCGCCGTTCGAGTGCTTATCATTTCCTTGGTGAGAATTGCCGCCATTGAGTGGTGGAAAAGCACTGCCGCCACCGACGTTACCACGAGCACGGTTTTTGCCTGCACGACCGCTCTGTTGTTGATATTCCGCCATTATACACCACTCACGAAACACGCGATCCGATTTCCGGGTAGAAGTAAACAGTAACAGATACGAGAAAGTACTGAATTCAAGAATAGATTACTCGCAAAGTTTTATAAGGGTAAACCCGACTGGTAGCAAACTGCAGGTACCAGACGCAGTGCAGCGATCACTAATACTCAGCTAGATCTCAGTTTGTACCTACTTGGGTAGAAGTAGTATGTAACAGACAAACAGAAAGTGAAAAAGGATATTTTATTGCTGTTTTTTTTTGTCTGACCAACATGTACAATTGTTCCGTCATCTGGTTCGCAGATTTTCGTGTCCCTTGTCTTATGACCCGAACACAATAAGAGCGGTTGTAGCGCAACGAGGCGGTAGCATATTACTCGAGAAAGCTTACTACAGTATATATTAAGTAAACACTATATGCAGTGTTGAACCGACGACCATCCTTAAAGAGAATTTGTTTTTGATTCAGTTCCAAACTAGATCGGGTATCAAGATTGGGTAGGCTTGTTGTCCGTCAAACGTCAGTGTAAACGTTTGTTTTTGTAACCTGGCTCAGATTGACGTTCGCATTGACAATAAGCTCGGGTTCGCCCGGAATGGAACTGGTTTAATCTGGATAATAAACAAAATCGCTATTAAAGAATAAGCAAATGCGTTTGTAATCTACATTGCTAACATAACTTCAGGCGTAACATTTGAAAACGACACTAAAAGCTTTTGTAAATAAAAGTTGTAAAACCCTTTAAACGCCCACGCAAACCAATACCACTATCGGAAAGGGGAGAATGCTGTTGTTGGTTTGCGTGGGTGTACTTCGGTTCGCGTGTAAAAGGGCTTACAACTTTTGTTTACAAAAGCTTTTGTGCCGTTTTCAAATGTCACGCCTGACTTTAGTATTTCCCCCATTTAATAACAAATATCGGAACGCAAAGCAGATATAGATTCCAATGCCATCCATAGCTTCTTCTGCACTGGATATCAGTCGCTTATATGCCGAGACAAATTTTTGCAACTCAGCGAAAACTTATTTATTTTGAAATTCTCATAACCGTAGGGGAGGTGTACCAGTTATGGCACAACTGAAACAAACGTTTTAGTTACGGCATAAACCATGTATGGCATATGGAGTTAATATGGTGTAGTGCATGAATCGTATCACTACGTACAGTTATGAGATAGTGTCGTAACTGGAACACCTACCCTATGTCTACAGTGTCTAGAAGATATCATCCGATACCTTCATTCATGTTTGAACTTTTCCAACCCAAGGTTGCTTCCACTAACTTCGTTATAAAAAAAATGTTTTTCGGAATTATGAAATCATTAGTAGAGCAGTTCCACGCCAAATGACGAATCTGAAAAACAACCTTTTTGTAAACACGTAATGTAAAACCATTTTAGCTTGTGTTATATTTACATAATTGATTATTCCACATGAATAACAAAGAACAAAAAAGAAGTAATTCTATGTGTAAACACTTGTCAGTGCTGCTTGTACTGAATGCAAACTTATCGATATAGGGTTACGGTATGTAATGTGGGTCTAGTCCTTTCATTCGGCCTATCACGCAAATAAATAATTAATTAAGGAATATTACACAAAAAATAAGGAAAATATTGATCACTGATGATTGATAAATGTGTACCACACACAAATCAATTTATATCACAACATTTCAATACATTTTCAGCTCTCGTAAGTAATAAAACTGGTTGAGAATATCACTCTGTTCGGAGTTTTTAGCCGCCATGACTTCTAAGGTTAAGATGGGAAGGTTGCACTGACGATCATCAAATGGCCTGATTATGGCATTTATTGAATGGAATTACCTGATAATACACACTAGACGTAAAACTCACAGTTACTGTTTGAATATTTTATGTTTATTTTAATTGTTTAACAACGTTTTCACAAGTAAATCATGGACCCAACTTTAGGGACACATTTCTTTTCTATGTTCCTAACTTTGGCCCATGAAATTCATTTGACAGCATATAGCAATAAGAGTAACGTCAACAATGTGGTTTGCATTTGGATGATAAGGAACGAACAGGAAAGAAGATTTTTTCTGCCAAATCTGTATAATGAACATCACAATGTTTTGATTTAGATATTCTGCGGTCGAAAGACGATAAGCGAAATTTTTAATTTTTAATTTTTAACTTGAGTGATTTAATGTAGTTTTCGTAAAATTTTCTCTAAGAAATGTTTTGAGGAATGAAGAGTATTAAGTTAACAGTGATAGTGATAAAAAAAAATACATAAGAAAACGTTACCAAGAGCGTTTTTTTTTGAGAATCAAACAGGATAGGACGAAGTTGCATCCATAAATAGACCCAATTTGGGGACAATAGACCGATATTACATACATTTCCCTGGTGAGTTTTTGTCTTAAAAAAAGTAAGTTTTTCAACTTTTTGCGGTTCCTGATAGCAAACGACATGATAAGCATATCTAAGCATACCATTTAGCAGTAGAATATCGTTTGCAGGTAAATTAATTGATGAGTTATGATTAAAAACGTAATCTATGGCTGCATATTAGACCGAGGTTAGGGACGTATACCCTATATATCTTTTAATGTTCTAGCAGAACGATGTGTTTCCAAGTGGTACTCGATAATGGCGACTCGGTTTGAAGAAAACGTTTATGCAATGAAAACAGTGATAAAATTAACATTTTTACATTTTTCCAAATTTTTGTTTTATCGAAAATTGGAAAATGAATCTTTTCAGCAGATTCGTAGAGTTATTTCCTATCGATTGGCGTATTTCTTTAAGCATTTTTTTTTTATTTGCACCCAGTATAGTCCACAAAGACGTACTTATACGTCAAAAAAAAAAGGACCAAAATGTGTTCATTTGATTACTGAAAAATCCGGAAATTTTTTGAGTGATAGATTCCTACGATAAAAATAATCCCACATTTTTTTTTCATCAGGTCAGAGAAAATTAAAAATTAATTATTTTCAAAGTTCTATCACCGTTACTATGTCTCACTGGCGCAGTGAAGGGTAGGAGGTGTCAAGGGCTCAACCCCTCTCCGCCCCAGAGCCTTGGGACAGATGTATAAAATTGTATACTTATCCTAAATGGAAGCAGGCCTGAACATACTCATTGCAGCTAAAATTCTACTTTTCGAAATTATGAAGCTATGAGATATTATAATAATAATTTTTATATGTAAGCTGCATGTATTTGACACATACAGTTAGAGATGGGCGATTCGCTCCCGAGCTGTTCTATAGACCCGATTCTCTAAAGTGAGTTGATGTAAGTCTAAACCATTCAATCCATCACTCATAGCGGAACTTTTCAAAAAAGGACACCACTTACGCATTGAACAGTCACCGCCGCGTAAACCAAAACGCGCGCGTAATACAACATGTGCCTACTGATCGACGGCACCAACGGTAAAAGCAAACTTCCAAGCGGCTGTTTATGTGCTACACGATGTTAATTTTCTACTGGTATTATCCAATTTATTTATTTACCCGGCTCTTATTGCTGATGTTATTCCTTCAGCATGTGTGCTCTCACCTCTCCTCCCGTCATTCTCTGAGGGAGCGGAAGATCCGCACAAAAGCAAATAACCAAAAAGCGAAATGCAGCTCTCCAACTTATCAGCTCAGCTCTGGATCCGAATCATCGACTCGAATGATTCACTGAGAGCTGTTTAGGATGACAACTCTCGGACCCGTACAGCTCTTCAGATCTTTTTCTCTCTTTCTCTCGATTCTTCACGTTTCAGCTCCGGATTTAAGCTGATGATCTGAGCTGATGCCGAGAATAGTGAGAGAAATTCTGTTGGAGAATCAACATCAAAAATAAAATCAGAATGTAGACTGGATTGCATAGCTTGAGAAACGTGTATTGCATAGCTTGAGTGTCACGATGTCAATCATATCATCGCGTGTGACATAGGTGTAGCTCTCTCGCATACATTTTTTTTTGTTTTACTGTTATGTTGTTGGCACATTTTGCACGCATTTTGGTTTACGCGGTGGTTGATCAGTTGTTGCGTTAGTAGCGTTTTCCATTGAAAAGTAAAGTCATGTTGTAAGGTACGAATTTATTGGTTTAGACTACTTTTACGATCTTATGCAGTTTTAAGCACTAAAACCACTAATTAATTTTCAAATTTTCAATTTGTGTCATAATTTCTATAATTTCGATGTGAGCTGTTCAAAAGAATCGACTCCCTTTAGTGAGCTGAATGGGTTTTATCCACTCTGCTAGATGAGCTGATTTGCCCACCTCTTCATAAAATCTGTCAATTTCGCTTCCAGAGTGTCACAATTAGCGATTAGGTAAAACGAATAGTACCTAGTTATTCATGACGATTACTCATTTTAGCTAAAATAGCTAATTGTAACCCTCTGAAAACAAAATTGACTGGTTTTATGTGTCATACACAAGCTTTACCTCTTCTTATTGCATCTTACATATAAAAATTATTTTTTTGTAATAATATCTCATAGTTTCCTTATTTCATATTTCCCTTATTTCAAAATCATCCTCGTGGACAAAGCCGAGTCTTGTGATTATCAACAAGGCATAAAAAGTAAAAAGGACTAAGGTGTGTTCCCCTAGTTTGAAGTAGTTCGGACTAGGCTTCAGTGGTAGATCTTAATGCCAGTAACGCACCACGAAAAAGTAATCTACCAGGCGTTACTGGGTAACTGTTATGTCTATATGACATTCTATTGTAAAATTTAGCACTATGTTACATTCAAAGTGATCAATTTTTTAAACTTTAAAAAGGTTTACATGAACTAGATTAAAAGGAACTTTTAATAATTTATTCAGGAATCTGTTTAAATAAATTCATGCTGGAGTATCAAACTTTAACAAAGCTCAATAAATTGCAGTGGTTTTAAAAACTTATTAGACTAGCTATTGATTGATTTAATTCCACTTAATTAATTTTGGTATCCATGACAGATACGTATTTCGACTACAATGTGCAGTCTTCATCAGTGTCATTCCCACTAAAGAACTATTCAAAATCTAACCCCCGCTGATGAAGACTGCACATTGTAGTCGAAATACGTATCTGTCATGGATACCAAAATTAATTAAGTGGAATTAAATGGAAGATAACCTTTTTGCTGTTTTATTGAAGCATTCCGCTAACAACCCAATTTCATTACTTCATTTAATTCAGTGTTTTTTTGTGAAGTAATTACATGGAAGTTTACGTTTTTCAGAGTTGATTGGAAATGCTAAACTAATATTAACATGAAGCTTTAGTGTGATGATTGATTAGCTAGAAAAAGTTCTGAAGACGATAGGTTGATAGTTCCGCTAGGGCACGGCAGTGTGAAAATTAAATAGAAGTTGAATTTGAGCGAAGGGTGTTGTTGCGTGCTGTACTAGACTGGCCCACAAAAATAAAAGTTCTAATTTTCCACGGGTCAACCTCTATAAATATGCCATTAGGCGAGAAAACCAT